TAAGAAATCATATCCACAGAAGGTATTACTTGAAGGTAACAGAAGGCATAAGCCTTTGATTAGAGAGAAAAATATTTCTGTTGAAGGACAGTAAGGAATAGAAAAATATGCAACTTTTAATGGATTAAAGGCACATCCTACAGTCTATACTGAAAATTGAATTACAGCAGTTGAAAATCAGCACCAGGGTGTACATTAGAGTTAAAAATTCTGGAAATTTTCATGGTTTCATTTTAGAATTAAATTGACTGAATGTAGTAATATAAAAAATTGGGTTGAAAGAAAAGATACTCAGTTATCTGGTAAATAATTTCACATGAGGTATTTGCTATTATGAATTAATACCCACCACAACCTGACGGTTTAAAACAATATCCAGGAGATATCGTGCCTTTGCATGGGAGAACTTAACACATAGAAACCCAGAAAGGCGATGGTTCCTAACTCACCTTTGCTTTCCTTGTTCCGCCAGCACCACGTATCGCTGTTTAATCTCCATGTCAAGCGGAGTAATCACCTGACTCCTGCCAGATCCCGCCAGGGCCAGATCCAGCCATTTCTGAGTCTTCAAGGCAAACATTTCCATCTGAAATGTCACTTCAAAGCGAAGTATGTGAGTGTGACATCTATAAATACAAATACATTTCTAAATAGCTATCCAGTTCCCTATATAAGGGAAAGAGAAAAAAATACATTTTCTATGAATTGCCAGAATAAGGCATGAAATGAGATATAGTCTCCAGATAATAGTATTTTTTTGGACCATAAAGATTCTAGTACGAAGCCCTCATTAGTAAATGGTAAAGAACATATTTAGAACTCAGGTCCCTCGAAACTTGTGCCTAATACACTATCCCTTCCAAATAAAATATATAAATCACACATAAAGTCACAAAAATACCCATACTCATTAAGTTTAGAAAAACAGCAAAATCTCTTTTTAATCCCATAGTCTCTGAACAAAAAATAAAGTGACTATCAGTTTAATGGTGTGTTTTACCTGATTTATTGTTCTACTCTAGCTTTAAAATAAATCATAGTTGTGCTAACGTAGCGTCATATAATTTTAGGTACTACTTTTCCATTTAATTTTATAATAAACACATACCATAGTTCCAAAATTGTGTAAATATGCGTGGGTGGTGTTTCATTGATTTGGATGTTCCATAGTTGAGAAAATGGTTTCTATTTTTGGTCTAATTTTGGAGTGAAGTCCTACAGACTTAAATATTTTGCACTGATGCCTGAAAACAAACTCATTTTGACTTGCATCTCTTGTGACTTTAGGAGTGCAGTGCTCATTCTAGTTAAACTCAGTCTTTTTCAGGAAGAATCTTGAGAAGAAAACCTCAATGGCAAAGTGTGAACAAGCAAAAGAACTGCCAATAATGGGAAAGAGCTATTCCTAAGATGTTTCAATGATCAGAGCCAAGGAAGAAGTCTTGGATATTTTGGGATTGGTTTGTCCAAATATCAAATTTGAGGAAGTCTTCAGGTTCACATTTTTTCCTGGATTAGCCCGTCTTTGACTCTTTATCCTTATATAGAAATGGCTGGACTGGTCACATTTTTAAAAGAAATGGAGAAAAGATTTTCCAGGCCAAATCAAATTTTATGTTTCTGTTTCTACCAAATTATTTTCAGATGCAAGAAAAAGCAAACCACTCAGAAGAACTGCACATTGCAATGAAGTTGGAATGCAAGTCTTCATCAGAAGGGAGGGAATAAATTTTGGATTATTCAACCACAAAATATGCAAACCACAAACAAGTGTAAATAACAGGTAGACACAACACACACAGGCGCACACACTCACACACACACACACTGCTACAAGTCTGCCCTTCTCCTAGGAATTTTCATTAATGTAGTTTTTTAAAAAAGCTTATTGACATCCCAGTAAAATTATATAAAAATTTCATTTCTCTTTCCATGTTTAAATGTTTGGCTTTGCAAATATTGTGAATATTCTAAATAAAACAAAAAAGACCTTAAAATATAAAAAATAAAGCCATGGAAGTAAGTTTTTAATCATCAGGCCATACATAGCCAATTAACGTTGAAAATAAATTATTGTGCCTCAAATCTTCTCCCAGGATCCAGTCCCAAAATCTCTGCCTAAAATACAGGAGCTTCTAGCATGAATTGTCTTTTCCCTCTCTATCATATAGGTTCATTTGTGTAGAGGACAGAAAATGTCTCAAATAAAGGGAAAAAGATACCTATTGAGCTGTTTTTCTCTTGGATGCAAACAACTGAAAACTAGGCAGTTAAAGCATAATGGTCTAATATTAAATTATAATCTTTCTGCAGGTTGCCATAACATTGTAAAGATATCTTGTTATGCAAAAATTATAAGTTTTAGTAATACTTTGACTTATTAATTTTCTCAGATAATGAACACTTTCACTAGTCTATGCAATCCCTTTTAGATACCTTTATAGTAAAATGAGAAACTCGGTATGACTCCCAAATCCCTTGGGGAACTAGTAATGTCTATAGTTTTCAAAGGCCTTATGCTATAAGATTATAAGATCGCTCCATCAGTTCTTCTTTATTCCTTCATTACCCTCTATGTGTCAAGTACTGGGTTAGGTTTTGGGGATTTCTACATGCATAGCACAGCACACATCTATGAAGAGCTTTCATTTGTCTTGAGGTAAGCAGATAGTTTAAACATGATTAAGCACTTTATTTAAAAAAATATGATGGGATAGTTGTCTCAAAAACCTCTTCCATAAAATAATACCTACAAATATTTATTTTTGTAAAATAATATATTTTTGTGTTACTTGTCTGAACTGATATGAAAGTCAAAAAAATCTTGATGGACAGATGGTAAAAATACGTGAATACAGAGAAGTAGGCAAATTTCAAAGACGTTGTTTTCCCTGAGGGCATCTGCCATACCTGTGGGCCACAGCTACATAGGGAGTGTAGAGAAAAAGCCTGGAACCCGTTTAAGGAGTGATATAAGAGCAAACAGACAATATTAAACCAAAAGCTTCCAAAAGATGACATCTCAGTAGAAAAACTAGGAAAGAACATTCTCACAAGGAGATTTAAGCCATACAAGCAATTATGAATGAGAATCATCGAAATATCAAAGTAAAAATATTGCAGATTTTGGAAAGACACATACAGACTATGAAAGAAATATCGGTCACATTTTTCAAGAAAAGCAAGATGATATCATGACTATAAAGATGGACAAGAGATTTTTAAAAGATTACTAGTTAGATTTAAAAAACAAAAACAAATGATGAATCTGAAAATAAAGTTATTACTCAGAATATAGTAGAGGGGGAAAGATCAAACATATGAAAAATAAGCAAAACAGAAGACAAAGAATACAACTGAAGTTTCTGAAGGAGAGAGAATGTGAACAAGGAATAATTAAGGATTATCAAAAAGTAATAATTAAGGATTTTCTACTATTATTGATAGATACCAATCCTAGCTCAGTAAGTACAACAGATATCAAGCAGAGTAAAAAAATAAACAAACAGCCTACCCAGACACACTGCAATGAAAGATCCTAATATCAAAGACAAAAAGATCTTAAAAGAGAGACAAGATAAAATAACTTCAAACAAATAAAAACTAAATTGAAGCAGACTTCTCAATAACAACACTGGAAGCCAGAATAATATTTTCAAAGCTCTAAAAGAAAATAAATATCAACCTAGAATTTTATTCTTAGTAAAACTATCTTTTGAGAAGGAGGATCATTTTTTTCCTATTATACTTTTTAAAAAATATAGGTAGCCTTTCATCATATAAATGTTTCTTAATCATTAAATCACTTACTACTTAGCTACTGTGATTGTACAGCAAATATTTACTTACCTCTCTTCCTGCTGCGATGACTTTTTAACTCTAATGATGTTGAACTTGACTGTGGAACTTATTTTGGCCAATGGAGGTTAATGAATTTTATGCAAACAGAGATGCTGATTGTGCTTGCCCAAATTAGTTTGACTCTAATGCTTTGATGACTCACCATAGGTAGCTGTTGTGCTTTTAGCTTCAGCTCCCAAAAAAGCACACTTGGAACAAATTTGAATCCAAACTGGACGTTGGAGCCAAATCCCACCAAGTCCCAGTCAAGTGTAATTTAAATCAGCCAATCTCACTTAAGCTGCAGACACATGAGCATTAGAGTAAATGTTTGCTGTTGCAAATCACTGTGTTTGGAGATGATTTTTAAATGTATTTTTGTAACAATAGCTGATAAATACAACTGGAATTGAACACTGAGGTTGTTTTCAAGTTTTGCCATTACAAACAGTGCTTTATTGAACGTGTCACTACAGCTTTTAAAAAAGTATCATCATTCCCTTTTCATAGAGGAAGAATCTGAGGTTTGGTGTAAGTATGTCATCCAATGGTACACAGCTATTAAGTGTCAAACCCATAGGTTGAATCTGGGTCTGTCTGATGCCAAAGTCCATGTTCTTCATAAGATGCTACATCACCTGTCACTGAAATATATTTACTCTTTTGGGTAGATATATATTAAAATAAGTCTGAAATTTTATATCAGCATAGAATAGCTTTGACTGGCAATATAACTATTAACTACTTTTGTCTCACTTTTTAAAATTTATTTTAGTGTTGAGAGTATTACATATGTCCCCCATTTCACCCCCTTTTCCTCTCTTCACCCATCTTCCACCCTACCCCAGACTTCCACCTGTCTATTGTCTATGCCCGTGGACTGTTCATTTTTATTTAAAATTAAATATTGCACTAAACTCTTGTTAAACAAAACACTAAACTCTCTATATCTATCATTTAAAGAAACCTTAGCTTGTTATGATGTTTTTCCTTAAAAGTAGACATTAAATCAGACCATAATTTGTAATGGAAATTGTAGGTTCAATATGAGAATGACCACCTTGCTAAAACTTTCTTTTCTAAGTTCCTTTCTTTAAATAGGCATCTTTTTCACAATAGCATTGTAATTATTCATACTTTCACAAACATACACAGTGAGGTAATATTTGAGTGTGCAGTACTTTAATGCTTTTTATTAGGAGTCAGTAATGTCCACATTATTCACGTGGGACAGGCTCCTGAGGGAGTAATATACATCTTGTGAACAGGCAGACCTACAAATTAGTAGCGGCCAAAAGAACCTCATGCTCTGCTTACGTTTGATAAGTGAAAGGTGTTTGATGTTGAAATGGTTCTGCTACATAAAATTTCCCAGAGACTGGAGGAAAAGGGTGCCCATTCTATCACTACATTAAGAGTTTATTAAGGGAATTTACACACAAATTGTGTCCCAGGCAGCAGCAAGACGACATAGGTGTCCTTGTGCGACGGGACAGGCACGAAGGGGTTATACAGGACAGGACAGGATGGAGAGGGGTGCTGGGGATAACCCACCTCAGATAAGGGGACAATGCTTGTCGTGCTTGCCCAACTATTACGCTTGCCAGGGGTGGAACCAACACAAACCAGCATGCTGTGGGGCCTAGGGGAGGGGGGGCAGATAGTCTCCGAGGGGATCTAGGGGAAGCAATCTCTGCTCTGCCCCAGGCCTAGTTGGAAGGTCTGGCAGTGCTCAGGGAATAGTCTCTCCTCCACAGGTCCATTTAGATGTAAGAGTGTCATAAATCAAGAGAATACCATTTATTTCTTTATGTTCAGCACAATTTGACATCATGTAGCTCAAAAGTGAAATGAATTTAGTTAGAGTAATTTCAGTAGGCCATAAAGCACTGTCCTTACGAGACATATAGAAGATACCAAACTTTTTTATTTTGAGGTCTAGGCATAGTATTGCCAAAGGGAGGCATTATGACACTGGAGATCAATTTGCAAATATAACCATTTAAAATACCACCATTTCTTTTACATAGCCCTTACATTACCTGACTCTACATCTATGCATATGCTATCTTGGTTAGTGTGTTCAGTCTCAAAAAGAGAGGCCAACTTAACTAACTGAAAAATATTGATCAGCTTAGTCTTTCACAGGCACAGTTGCCTGCAATAAAAGCTTACAAATCGCTCAAAATTTAACTTATATTTAAGTGCACTCTGTACCTTTGAGCATCTACACAAATGATGATGACACAAGATGGAATGGAATGCAAAAAAGAAAGGTGAAAACAAAGTCCTGAAAACTAGCAGAGGATGGAATCATTGTCAAGTGAAATCTCTCAGAAATGTAACCATACCTTTTTCAGCAGTGTTAAAGAAGTACAGAGAAGTAGGGATACTGGACTGGGGCAGTAATGGAAATTCAAAATAAAGGCATGATGGAAGGAAATAAACCCAGTTTAGATAACATCCAGAATCCTGAGAGAGTTAATACAGAGAAGGTAGGTTGGATGTCCACGATGGATAATTTTATATATATATATGTATAGATGAGTATGCTTATATGTGCATGTAGTTTTATATATGTATATGTAAATGTGTATCTAAATCTATAACTATCTATCGACGGAGCTAAAAGTGTATCTTTCCATATAATGCTTAAAATATAACCATGAAGGCTTATGCATGCAGGCATAAGAATTTTCTGAATTTATTATTTTTTTTCCAGAGCAAAGTTATGCTTATGCCTCATGCATGCCAATGCTATAACAGGGAATTAATTGGAACCAATGAAATGGGACATCAGTCTCTTTACCTTCAGGTTCCTCACACATTCTCCATTAAAGAGTTCAGTTCAAGAGCATCTCCTGCCATATTAACCTTATTTGCTCTACTGTATTAGGGACATGTGGGACCAGACGTCCCCAACTCCACCTCGAGAAAGCTCAGGCTGGAGGCTGGAGGCTGGAGGCTGGAGGCCTGGGTCATGACCAACTATTTCTCGGGCCCTAGGAACTGCTTAAAAACCATAGTTTACTCACTGAGAATACAAGACCATGAATGTCTGTCACACTTCCCTTTACCCCAGGGATTCTCAGATCTTTTGGTCCACAAATTGTTTGTCCATAAAATGATGTCATAATGAAAGCATCGATGAAAACACTGTCAGCTGATGTTCACAAAGACAGGACAAAATCATAGCACTGTCAAACGCCTCCCTCCATTCCCAGAATCATTTTTGGATAGTGTCTATTAGCCAGATGTGAACTTAATCCACTGTAGTCAGCTAACTTTGGGATGACTACTCCCACATTGCTGACCATAATTATTTCCTGCTGTAGGAATACTACTCACTGCATGTGAATCTTTCTTTGATTTTTCTGTATTGGCTGCTGTTGTCAGGTTATGAAATAGTATTTTTTCAAAGTATGAAATATGTAAGATCTATACCAATGTAAGGCATTAATTAGAATCTCCAAAATCCTTGCTCTATTAACATTTATCTAGAGAAAGAGACTTCTTTTTCAGTGTTTATGAAATGGTGTGTAAGGTCTCAGTTTTAAGCCAGAGAAGCTGATTCCCATGGACAATCTAATTTAGCTAGAATCAAATGACTAACCACATCCTACTTCATTTAGCAACAAAGGGTCCACTCCAAGCAACAATAAACACATGGTGCTCACCCTCAAAGTATTCCCATCCTTTCTGAAGACCTCCCCCATTCCTCAACAATCAAATGGTATGGGGTTGTATAACAGAGGTTTCTTCTTCAGCAGTCTTGGTGTCTCAAGAAAAATAAATTCTTACCTTGTCAAGAAATGTATATTAATTATGATAAAATGTCTTTTGATACTTTAGAGTTCTACCTAAAAATGCATTAAAGTTTAACTTCAGTGAAGAAATTCGGTGCATCTTCCATTACACATCTAGGTCAAGGTGAAACATGATGCTATCTACGTTTTTGATGGCCAGTGGCTTAATAACCCATTTCAGGCTGAAGCTGAATCCTTCTGTGCTATTTCTTACTCCAAAACAGTAGCTCGTAAACTTCTCAGTGACACATGAAGCAACAACATGGTTGTGCTCAGTATACTCTCACGGACCTACACGAATTTTCAGATCATCTACAAACTTTCTTTTGTCAAGCGCTTCAGTGATTTAGAATCTTCACAGCTGTCAATGGTCCATCAGCAGCAGTCCCTCCCACTTGGTTGTCAGAGGTTGCTGGTGATGTGAAATTTCTGAGCAGCTTGCTGCAACTCTGTTCTCTCCTGCAAAGTCCATCAGAATGCAAGCCAGTGAGTGATACTACCACAGTGAGAAACTTTAAAGCAGTCTTAATTTATATTACAAAAATTAACTCATTCACAAACTCAGTACTCTTAGACTATTCTGAACCAAACTATGTTATGGCAATTGATCCAAACAAGTCAGTTGATCCAGACAGGAAGTTGAAAAGTGCTTCTCTGAAAGAGGACATCAACCTGTTCTTGGGCAACATGTGAACTTTAGGGGTTGTAGGGCTTACAATTGGAATCCTGGTTGCTAAGAGGTTGGGGCACTGTTGTGGAAGTTTTGGTCTCATGACTGTACTCTACTCCTCTGTGTGGGATAGAAGTCAGGAGATGCAAGAGAGATAAAATTCCACCAAGGTCTGAGGTAAGAAATGATTGACAGCCCCTGTGGACATACGGACTTTGGGGATTCTGAGATTCTTTTGGCCTGAACTTAATTTCGGCTTGTGACATTTGTGAGCTTTTATGGCTTGAGCATGAAGAATGGTGAAGGTGGGAGCAAGAGGGAAAGGAGTGTATGTAGGTAAAGAGAGAGACAGAGGAGCTGACTGAGAGAGAGCTGGAGAAGAGGGAAAAGAAACTTACAAGTAAGGTAGGAGAAGAGTTACTATTTATTGTAACTATTTCCCAAGCACTTGAATTGCAGTCTTGTGTTGAATATTCATGTCTTCTGAAAATGATGTTTTCTTACAGATTTGGAAATTCAGAACCATCTTGCCCAAAGCCGCCAAGCTTCTTAGACAAATAATCAAGATAATCTAGACCTGTGCTTGTCAAACTTTCATGCTCATATGACTCATCTGACAACCTTGCTAAAATGGAGTCTTTGACCCAGTTGGTCTGAATAGGCCTAAGAGCCTGCATTTCTGGCAAGTTCTCAGGAGGTACTGCTGCTGCTCAGGGGCCCATACTTTCAGTAGCAAGATTTTAGAGGATGGATAATGTGAGCTGCAGAGGTCACCCTTGGAACGCATTTTCATGGACTTTTAATGGCACACTCCTTCATGGTGGCCTTGGCCCAACATATGAAACAGATGCTAACAGCCTTTTATTTTAGTTTAAATTTTATAATTTCAATATAGTGCCAAAAATCCAAATTTATTGAAGAGACTAGTCTAGGGTAAAAACCCAACTGGTTGTTATAGCCACACCTATATTTTCTGTGCATTTTCACGAGTCTATTTGTGAACTCTGACTACAAATAACTTTAAAAAAATATTGGACACAGTAGCTCTTCATCCCATTTGAATAAGAACACATTGAAAATGGCAAACTAAAAATGGAATAATCTAGTTTCATATCAACTGTTTCAAGACTCAATTAAAACAAAAAAGAAAGGGCTTTTCTTGTCTCTAAACCCACAAGTCTGATAAGCAGCTGGCATTATTTCTCGGTGTCATCTTCATAAAACACATCCCATGTCCCAACATGCTCTCCTGAAACCATCCAAATAATTGCATTTTTTTCCTTCTATTGTTGTGTTGCTTAATACTCACAGACACACACAGCCATGCACACACACAAACACAGTTATGCCTGCACACTGTCTAGGGGTATTTGTTATACAAATATCTTAGTATCATCACTTTTCTTTATCTTGGCTTTAGGCACATAACATTTTTCAGACTTTTCAATAATATGCTGAGAGTGAATTGGGCGTTTATATGATCTATGGATTATGTTGTTCCAGGAACTGCCAATTTTACTCTAATATGATTCCAGTATGCTGAGAAAGTTATTCCAACTAGAATGTGCTGAAGGGATGAATGTGGCTTCCATGCAGGGCATATAAGCTTTTCTCAAATAGCATTCTTGTAGAGATTAGAGGATAATCTGGCAGCCAGACCCAGCCAATTAAAACAGTAATTGAAATGGTTGAAAATGTTTTCCTTGGCAAACATTAGTTATTTTGCTTCATTTTGGGTTTCCTTGAATAACAAAAAAAATAGGGTCAATCACAAGACTCCTAATTTATTTTCTTGGTTATCTTTTTCACATAAAACTGAAAAAGGGCTGCTGTAGAGCTTAAGTGAAAAACTGCAAACTGTGGTATGGGGTGGTATAAAGGCAGGCATGGGAAAACAAAATCATTCTTAAGCTAACATAAATAAACCTCCTGTCAGCATAGAATATGTGGGAACTTCTGTTTTGGGGTGGAAAGGGTAAAATGAAGAGGGGAATGCAAGAGGAAATAAAAAATACAGAACAGGCACTCTTGTAAAATGTTGGTTTAATTTTCTCCAGATTAATAGGTACTTAAAAACTGAGACATAATTTTAAGATATCTGAGATGAAGAACTAAAATATCAATTTATGTATCATAATTTTCTTCACAAGCCAGTTGTGTATTATTAAATGCTTTTAATCATCATCTCTGGGGTAAGAGAGTATCTGATTCTTAACACTGGCCAATTTCCATGGTGTAAACACTGTCTTCATAGTTAATTTCAATCTACCAACCTGATGTTCCTGAAGGCAGAGTTGGGAAGAGGCATGCACAATCAACTTTTATGACCCACTGGGAGCTGCCAGCACACTGCTGACTGAAGTCATAGTTTTACAAACGAACACAGATATGAAAATGCAATCTAGATTGACATCCAATAGAAATATTGAGAGAGGAAATTAGTAGGCAAAGATCATTATCTCACAAATTAATTAATCTAACTTTTGCTGAATGAAACTGTAAAACATGAAAAAAACTCAAATAACTGATTTTAAAAGAAACACTTTTCTATGTCAATTCATGCTTCTTTCCTTTAAAACCCTACTTTTAAGCTCAAATCCTCTATGAACCTGCTCTAAAGATGTCTGAAATTAGTCACTGTACCTATTTTATCATCTTCTTGGAATTAAGATTTCAAAATACCATATACTAGTGGATCTAACTCTAAACATTAGAATAATGTAGGGAGCTTCCATAAAGTATCATCCCTTGACTCTCCTCCAGGACCAACTGAATTAGAAGGCTTTGGGTGGGGCTTGGCACTGATACTTTTGAAAAGTTCCCCAAGTGTTCAATTTGCAACCAGGATTGAAAACAACAAGCTGTATATTTGTCTATATTTTCATTGAAAGTGCTCTGAAGTATGGCTAAATTGCATCCTATTAAATTATGAACTCTGGCTGGACCATATATATATAATTTTGTCTCTCTTTTGATTTCTTCTCCCACCCCATAGCACTGGCAAATGTCATCAATTAAAAAAACCACACCAAAAAACAAAAAACAAAACACCAAAATTATTAAGTTTTGAATAGAAATATGACATCTATTCTATAGACTGTAGATTGGGCTCATACTTACTCATATTTTCTTATTTCAAACCAAGCTTAGAAATTTTTGAGAGAGATCACACTCACCAACTGTGTGTGCTAATTAGTAATGATTTTCAATTACTCTAGGCAACACATGCGAAACAAATCACCCTTTTACTTAGAAATGGAAACTAATTATAAATTTGATTTACTGAATGATTAACTCATGAGATTTATCTACATATATGCCAATATAAATATTAGTATAAAGAATAAATGGTCCTTCCTTTTAGAAAATGTAAAAATACATTAAAAATATGGGTAATGTTTTAATTCTTTCCTGGAAGGACAAACTATATGATGCTAAATCATAATCTTGTATGATTAATTTATTAGCACAATTCTTACTCTGAGAAAAAAATATTAAACTACTCAAAATGAATCTGGCCTCTTTTCCAAATACTCAGTCATCATCATTAGTGGCTGCATTGATCAAACTTCTATCTGTGAATCTTGGAAAGCCGCACTCCATGTGTAGAAATCTATGCCACTCTTAGGCATTGCAACAGAGCCAAGAACAGCAAGAAACACAACAAATAGCAGCTGTGGTTCTTTGCATGTGTGGTACTGCTTAGGCTAATGCCCAGGATATCATATCTTTGTCCAAAAGGTGCAGCTGCACCAGTTGACAGGTTTTTGAAAGTGGCAAAAAACACAGAAGGCAAAAACTGGCACCAATCCTTCCGTCTCCTCACACTCGGTCCCTGTAGCACGACTCTGGGCAATGTTCACAGCCAGCCATGGCCAGCATTTGGGTAAAACATGTAATATAACTCAGCCAGAGATCAGGTGTCATCACTCGACTCTCTCACTGGTTGGTCTTCTGGGTAGGTACACCCGACATGAAGTGTATGCGTTCACTAGTGCTGTACAACAAACCACCCCAAAGCTCAGGATCTTTAAGTAGCAATCATGTATTAGTACTTACATTTATGTGGGCAGGATGGGGTTCAGATGATCTAGGTTGGGTTTGGCTGGATGGCTTTGTTTCTCACTGAAATTCTGTGAATTTATGGAGGTAGCTCTGGCCAATGTGCATTCATTCATTCATCCTGAGGCCCACGCTGAAGTGGCAGGAGCAACCCAGAAGGAAACTTCTCAAAGCAATGGTAGAAACACAAGGGGATAAGTGGAAACACAGGGCTTTTCCTGCCAAAACTTACAACTGCTAAGTTCTCACTTCTGCTCATATGCTATTGACCAAAATAAGTCATGCGGCCAAGTCCAGGTTCAAGGAGGGAAGAACCACACTCTGTCCATGACGAGACCGTGGCAAAGGTGTAGATGCAGGAACGAATAAAGAATTAAGTCCAACAAATCAATCTACCACATGAACCTGTCAGTTTTTCTGGAAAGGATGTAATGGTAATGATGATATAATGGTAACAGCAGCTATCTTTTATTATGAGTTCACGATGGCCCAGCATTACATTATTCCAAACTCAAACTCTCTCTCTCTCAAATCATTAAATTTAAAAAAAATAAAATAACAATGTTTGCTTATTTGCTTAAATTATTGAAACTATTTTATAGGCATATTAGGTGGACTGCGTACGGCAGCTTTGGGATTTCCCACCTGGACATTCCCTGCCTTGGGAGTAGTGATGGATGGTCTGAACTGTTATGCCATGGGTGTCAAGGACCAGGCAAAAGAACAT